ACCACCACCACCACCACTGCCACCAGCGTTGCTCCTACTAGTACGTAATGCTGCTGCTACTACGACTACTGCAACGACAACGAATACTATCAACACGACGACGACAACAACGGACGCAATCAGTGCCAGTACTACCCAGGGCATATTGCTTGATTAAAAGGTTTTGGAGTCTCTGAAACCCTCAACCCTAAACCCTCACTCCAAAACGCTGAACCCCTAAACCTCGAAACCCAAAACCCTCAACCCCTAAACCCTAAACCCCTCAACCCCTAAACCCTAAACCCTCCTAAACCCCAAAACCCTAAAGCCCTCAACCCTCAGCCCTCTTAAGGGTTTCGGGGCCCAGGGGTCCCAACATGCTCTTCGACCTGAGGCCTGCGCACTGGTGATGACGAACCTCATAGGCGAGCTCCGAAACCCCGACCCTTGTAGGGTTTAGGGTTTTAGGGCTTTAGGGCTTTATAGGGTTTAGTGTTTTAGGCTTTAGGGTTTTAGGGTTCAGGGTTTTGAGTTTTAGGGTTTAGGGCTTTAGGGTTTTAGGGTTTTGGGGTTTAGGTTCTTAGGGTTTAGGGTTTTAGGTTCAGGCTTTACGGTTTAGGGTGTAGAAGCCACCCCCAAAAGGGTCATCCAACCTTCCGGTAGCTTCAGATAGGCCTCTGTTCTTTTCGAGGGTTCTGTCTTTTCTAGAAACTTCCGGGGCTCTGGGAAAGGGCTGTGGTTCGGAGCTTGAGAGTCTGGGGCTGCGGGTGTAGGGTTTGGGGTTTGGGGCTTCGGGTTTAGGGTTTCGGATTTAGGGCTTAGAGTTTATTTAGCTTTTTTGGGCTTCGGGTGTAGGGTTTAGGGTTCTTAGGTAGTAGGTTTTAGGGCTTCGGGTTTAGGGTTTGCAGCTTGGGGGGATCTTACGGCGTTCGGGGGACTTCCGGATTTATTGCTGACATGATGCCAGGCAGCCCAAAGTGCACTGCGCCGGAAGAGTTGACGAGTTAGCTTAAGATCTCGGGGTTGAGGGTTTCGGGTTTGGTTTCGGTGTGGAGAGTCAATTGTCGACGTTCCAGTCGCTTTGACTTTCTAGGCTCAGCCACTTCGTTCCTACAGTTCTCATTGGAAGATCTCCATGTCATGAGCCCGTTAACCCTGAACCCTAAACCCTAAACCCTAAGCCCTCAACCCTGCAGCCCTAGAGCTTTGAACTTCACCCTGAACCCGAACATCCAAAATCGACATCCGCCTGGACCTCCGCGCCTGAAACCCCGCAATCCCAAGAACTATGCCCCAGAAAGCCCTACCTGGACCCAAAAGAATGTAGTATTATCGCCGTTTTAGGGTGTTGGGGGTTTAGGGTTTAGGGTTTGGGGTAGTCTGCAGTCCTATCCATCGAAATCCAATTGCCGCCGCTGCTTGCAGGGAACGCCATGCTCGTGGGTGCCGAGGCAAGATCCACTCTTTTCACAATGCTTTAGGGATTTCAGTTTTGGTGTTTAGTGTTTAGGGTTTAGTATTTAAGGGTGTCCTTGTCACCCTAAACCCTAAACCCCTAAACCAGGCAGGCTCGCTCACACGAAAAGGCCACCACACTCAAAAAAAACCTAAACCCTAAACCCTAAACCCTACATCCTTGGCATTTAGGGGTGTTTTTGGATATATTGCCGGTGTCGAGCTTTCGTCTTGCACCAAGGTGCCTTTCGGCACCCTAGGTCCAGGTCCTGACATGGGTTAGTTCTCTAAATTAGCGTACCCATTAGGGCCCCTTTTGGGGGCCCGTAAAGGGATCTATAAGGGTTTCTACAGGGTTTCCATGAGGGTACTATAAGGGTGCAGTTTGGGTAGTGGTCTAAATCAGGGCATCGTTTAGGGTCCTTTTTATAAGGGCGCCGCCCTCTTTTGGGGACCTAGAAAGAGGTAGCCCCTGATTTAGAGAACTACCCAGATGTACAGTTACAGGTCGTGACCCTAAACTCTAAACCCTATACCCTAAACCCCGTGTGGCGAGCTTTGAGCATCTCCTGTGTTCCGAGGCCCAGAAGAACATCCGTCAGCCTAAATCCTGAAGCCCAAAGCCTGTGGTAGACCCCAAGAAGTTGAAAACGGGATTAAGGACAATTAGTGCTGGGATTGCTTATGCATTATTCTTAGGGATTGAGGCTATTGGGTTTCCAACTTTTGGGCTTCTACTGTAAACCCCTAAGCCCAAAGCCTTAAATCCCCAAACCCCAAAGCCCTAACCCCCTAAACCCTAACCTCTGAAACCCCCTTGAGACCCGAACGCCCCCCAAAGCCCCAGAGCCCTCAGTCGCAAAAGTAGAGTAGGTGACTAACCTTGTTGGGGTACGACGGCTGATGATTATAAACCCTGCATTACCCCTAATGAGGAACATAGCATAATTCCCATAGCCTAGGGTCCCTAAGGTAATGCAGGATTTATATCATTAACAGTATAACCCCCATATCCCCTATATCCGCTAAGCCCTAAACCCTAAACCCTAAACCCCAAAAAACCCAGGCCCTACACCCTAAGCCCTAAATCGTCAAAGGTCAACCTTTCGTTCCCCATTGTAACAGGATTTAGGGCTTTTAGGTTTTAGGTCTTTAGGGTTTTAGGGGTTTTAGGCTTTTAGCTTTTCGTGCTTTTAGGTTTTTAGGGGCTTTTAGGCTTTTAGCGTTTAAGTTTCAGGGGTTTAGGATTTTAGGGTCTTTAGGCTTTTAGGTTTTAGGGCTTTTAGGTTTTAGGGTTTTAAGGTTTTAGGGCTTTAGGGCTTTTATTGATTTAGGGTTTTTGGGGCTTTTAGGGATTTAGGGCTTTTAGGTTTCAGGGCTTTTAGGTTTTAAGGGCTTTAAGGCTTTAGGGCTTCAGGGCTTTTAGGTTATGGGTTTGATGAAATCCGGATCCTCCCGAGTGTATGTGCTGGGTTGAGCATAAAGCATTTTGCTTGCCGATCCGCCTTGAAGACTCAAGTATCACACTGTAGGCATCTACCATCATGTAAAGATGTACAATCAGGTCAGAGCCTTACATGTGTGCTTTGCTGAAAAAGAAGTTGCAGCATTCTACGCTCATGGTTGCCGCTGGCGCATCAACTGCATAAGCCCACCGACTGTGAGCGATACACCGAAGTTTTACAGGTTATGTCCGCCCAATTATCTGGAAGCGATTCCGCTGCAAGGGTGAGCAATCGGGGACAAGGCGATGGGGTGATGGTGAATGGTACAACGGAGCCGCGAGGTTCGGACCCTTCTGGGGAATCTGTACTGGCGAGTTTGGAAAACCCGAATTTACTGGATACAGTGCAGCTGGGAGATAGACCTGGACCTTTGCAGCCTTTGACTACAGCGTCGTCACAACCGCATTCGGCCGAGCCTCAGTACGCAACACCGGATCCCGGCGCGCGCGTTATAACCACGGTGGAAAGGAATTTCAGTACGGAGCAAACGGCCTCGCAGCAGCCGACTACACCGACGAGCTCGTCGGTAAGAGTCCAGGAGTTCTTTGCCACACAGACTTCCCAGAGCCCGCCAGGGGACACGCAGGGAGTTCGCTGGATGGCGAGGTTTTCGGAGTTCCTGCGGACTACGGCGTCGAGAGGAGCAATGGGTGTGGATCGTATGTTGGACGGTTTGGGGATTCCACCTCTTCCTGTTCAGCAGAGAGTTGCAAGGGTGGCCTCAACAAACGCCTTGCGGCTCAACGTGTCACCGCCCGAGGACTTAACGTCGCCGCCAACACAGGCTCCGGCAATTCCCGGCTCTTGGTCAGTTGCTACTCCGCCGCAGGCTCCGCTGTTTGGCCCCCTGGAAATGGCGCAGATGAGGCAGGCTCAGATGAACTATCCTCAGATATATGGACCTTTACAGGGTCCCAGTCTGCCCTCCGAAGATTCGGAACGATCGTCGAGATTGCTTGCAGAAGTCCAGCGACAGTTGGAAGAGTATGAGAACAAATACAAAAGTGAAGTTGAGCGGCTGGAGTTGGAAGTGGTTCGCATGAGAGAAGAGAGGGACCAGGAACGTGCGATGAGAATGGGTGGTATGGGTCCTCCTTTACCTCAGAGTCCTAGTGTACCAGAAGGGAATCATGGCCCACTACCCCCGCCAGGCTTTGCGCACCATGGCCCGCTACCTCAGAGTCCAGATGTACCAGAAGGGAATCATGGCCTACTACCTCAGAGTCCTCGTGTACCAGAAGGGAATCATGGCCTGCTACCTCAGAGTTCATGTGTACCAGGAGGGAATCATGGCCCACTACCTCCAAGGCAGCCTCTCTTCAGAGACGATGGAATACCTCAGCCGCCGCCTATGCCAAAAGGGCTGTTGAGTGTTCAGCAAATTCGTCCTCCGCCTTTGCCGCAAAGTCAAAGGGCACCTCAGAGTCCAGATGTACCAGGAG